CCGCGCCAACGGCCCGCTCCGCTCGGGACCGAATCGGCGGCGCCCGCGGCTCCGTTATAACGGCCGCTCGGCGGGGCCGGCCGAGACGCAGCGGAGACGCCCGCGCCGCCCCGCCCCGGGCCTCGCCCCCACCCGGGGCCCGCGGAGAGGTGTTGGGGGCCGGGACGGACGGTTGAACGGAGCCCGAGCGAGCGCCGGGGACGCAACCGCAGCTGCGAGAGAGGCTCGAGGCGCTGCCCCTTCCCCATCTCCCCCCCTCCCGGGGCCGCTGGTAGGAGGAGAAGGGGCCTTGGGGACCCGGGGCTGGGGGTGGGGGGTGATGGGGGGTGGGCTGGAGGTGGGGAGGGGGGATACCGGGTGCTGCCGCTTTGGAGAAAGGAAGCCTCTAGAAGTCTCTGGGCATGCGAGAGATCTTGCTTTCCTGAACACCTGTTGTGTACACACACACACACACACACATACACACATACACACACAAAGCTCTGTTCTTGGTGTGGGGGGCTTTCAGGGCGAAGGAAGTGGGCAAGGGGTCGGGCCCTGCCCCGGGTTAGTGACTAGGGAGCAGAGCATGGCAGAGATGCAGTGATCCACATCTTAGGAAGAAAAACGTGTGTGAGGCAAGACGGAGGGGCGTGGATGGTTGGATGAGAGACTGTGGGCTGAAAGTAGACCAAGGACCAAGGACCAAGCACGGTGGCCCCTTAGGATCTGTATTGCAAACCATAAGGCCCCAAATGAGAGAGAGAGAGAGAGAGAGAGAGAGAGAGAGAGAGAGAGAGAGAGAGAGAGAGAGAGAGAGAAGGATTGTACGTGCCACAGAGGCAGGGAGGGGGGGTGTGGGGGTGGCAGGTGGGACACTGGGAACATTGAAGGTGGAAAATGTGCACTGGTGGAGGGATTGGTACTTGAGGGTTGTTTGATTGAAATGTAATCATGCAAGTTTGTAACTGCGCCCTGGGTGTTCCAATGAAACTTCTTAAAAAAAAAAAAAAAGAAGGAAAAAGAAGAAAGAAGGGCCAGAGGTAGAACTGGAAAACCATTTCCAGGGACCAGAGCGGTAGTACAGTGGGAAGGGTAGTTGCCTTCCACGCGGCGGACACGCGGCGGACCCGGGTTCAATCCCCGGCATCTCATACGGTCCCCTGAGCACTGACAGGAATAATTCCTGAGTGCATGAGCTAGGAGTCACCCCTGAGCATCGCTGGGTGTGACCCAAAAAGAAAAAAAATAATAAAATGTGCACTGCTGGAGGGATGGCTGCTTGGTTGTTTGACTGAAGTGTGACCATGCAAGTTTGTAACTGTATCTCAGGTGTTCCAATGAAACTTCTTTTAGAAAGAAAGAAAGAAAGAAAGAAAGAAAGAAAGAAAGAGAAAGAAGGGGCAGAGATAGAATTGGAAAACTATATAGTACAGTGGGAAGGGCCTTGCATGCGGTGGACCCGGGTTCAATCCCCTGCATCCCAGATAGTCCCCGGGCACTGCCAGGAGTAATTCCTGATTGCGTGAGCCAGGAGTCACCCCTGGGCATCGCTGGGTGTGACCCAAAAAGGAAAAAAAAAAGCGTTTCCGAGGAAGTGTCTGTTGACCTACAGGAAGTGATGGAGCCCCTGAAGAATGATGCAGAGGGAATAGTTGACATTAAAACGTCCAAGGCCAGGGTGGGTGGGAGAGGGAATTCAGGGTGGCGGTGGCCCTTGCTTGGCTTGCACGCAGTCAACCTGGGTGGAGGTCCTGGACACTCCGTATGGTCTTCCCCGAGCCCTGCCAGGAGTGATTCCTGAGTACAGAACCAGGAGTTAGCCCCATGCCCTGACAGGTATGACTCAAACAAACAAACAAGTAAACAGACAAAAACTCCACAAAGGGGCTGGAGAGATAGCACAGCGGGGAGGGCGTTTGCTTTGCACGCGGCTGGCCCGGGTTCGATTCCCAGCATCCCATATGGTCCCCTGAGCACTGCCAGGAGTAACTCCTGATTGCAGAGCCGGGAGGAACCCCTGTACATCGCCAGGTGTGACCCAAAAAGCAAAAAAAAAAAAAGGTAAAGGTAAAGGCCCTCCCGTTGATGGTCGATTTGCTGGAGCGGGCCCAGTAACGTCTCCATTGGAGACTTTGTTGTTACCGTGTCTGGCATATCGAATACGTCACGGGGAGCTTGCCAGGCTCTGCCGTGCGGGCGAGATACTCTCGGTAGCTTGCCGGGCTCTCCGAGAGGGGCGGAGGAATCGAACTCGGGTCGACCATGTTGGCCGCTTGTAAGGCGAATTCCACAAAATGTCTAGGGCTAGGGAGAGTCCAGTGAGCTGGGAACCAAGCTTTGCCTACGGGTGGGGAGCAGGGGATGTGATCCCAGCTTTACACCTGTGTGGTCACCTCAGGGTGAGGAGGAAGAATGAAAAAATGTCTAGAGGCTGGAGAGAGAGTACAACTGGAAAAGTTATTTTGGGTTTTGGGCCACTCCCAGTGGTGCTCAGGGCTTATTCCAGGCACTGCACTCAGGGATCACTCCTGGCAGGGCTCTGGGACCATCAGTTGGGGCGCTAGGGATTGAACTCAGGGAGGCCACGCGCAGGGCGACCCACTGTCTTACCTCTCTGGCCCTGCTTGGCCCAGAAGTTGAAGGGTGAGGAAAGTACCAGTCATCTCCAGGGATGTGACTCGTCTGGATGCTTTCCATCCTGGAGACCTGGGTTCGTTCCACCATCCAGTAGCACTGTGGCACTGTCCTCCCATTGCTCATCCATTTGCTCGAGCGGGCACCAGTAACGTCTCCATTGTGAGACTTGTTGTTACTGTGTTTGGAATATCGAATACGTCACGGGGAGCTTGCCAGGCTCTGCCATGTGGGCGGGATATTCTCGGTAGCTTGCCGGGCTCTCCGGCAGGGGCGAAGGAATCGAACCCGGGTCACCACGTACAAGGCAAACGCCCTACCCAATCGCTGTGCGATTGCTCCAGCCCTCATCATCCAGTAGCTCCCGCAAAAATCAAAAAAAAAAACAAAGCATAGCATCCCCTGGTTTTCTACCGACTTAATGCATGCTTTTAGAATTTTGAATCTCCATCAATTTCTGAGATGCGTTGGCCTGTGTTGATTTAACGTAACTAAGTAGCACCGTGTGTTTTAAAAAATAGGGTATTTGAGTTCAAGGAATTTGGGGGTTTTCTTTTAATATCCCTCTACAACCCCCATCTCCACCCCATGTAAGGAACGCCTAGTGGGGGCTGGAGCGATAGCACAGCGGGTAGGTCGTTTGCCTAGCACACAGCCGACCCGGGTTCTATTCCCAGCATCCTATACAGTCCCCCGAGCACTGCCAGGAGTAATTCCTGAGTGCAGAGCCAGGAATAACCCAAAAATTCCCCCCACCCACCCAAAAAAAAACCTAGAAAGAAGGTGTAGAGGAGGAATACCAGATTCAGATAAGATAGCTGATCAGGCGGAGTCATGATTTTTATTGTTTCTTGTTTGTTTGTTTGTTTCAGTTTTTGGTTTTTGGATAACTGCTGGCTGTACTCAGGGCTTGCTCCTGGCTCTGTGCTCAGGGAATCACACCTGGAGGTGCTTGGGGACTTTAATTGGTGCTGAGGATCGAACCAGGTCCGGCCCTGAAAAAGGCAAGTGCCCTACCCACTGTACTATCTCTGGCCCCGGGATGATAATTTTTTAATCTAGGGTGGCTTAGTTCAAATTTGTTCAGTCATGCACTGTAGCGCTGTCCTCCTGTTGTTCATCGATTTGCTCGAGCGGGCACCAGTGATGTCAACATTGTGAGACTTATTGTTACTGTTTTTGGCATATCGAATATGCCATGGGGAGCTTGCCAGGCTTTGCTGTGCGGGAGGGATACTCTCGGCGGCTTGCCGGGCTCTCTGAGAGGGACGGAGGAATCGAACCTGGGTTGGCCAGGTCGGCCGCGTCGGCCATGGGCAAGGCAAACGCCCTACCCGCTGTGCTATTGCTCCAGCCCTTGTTAAATCTTACGTAGCAAAATCGAACACATGAGGCGGGCTGGGAACGTGACTCAGAAACAGGGCCCTTGCTTTACCTGTGTATGACCCTGGGTTCTCTCCCTGACCTGGCAAAATAAAAAAGTTAATGACTGAATCAATAAGATTGCAGGGTAATCTAATCACAAGATTACCTAACCCAATTCCTGCCCTTTTTTTTTGTTTGTTTGGAATTGGGAACCGTACCCAGCGGTGCTCAGGGCTTATTCCTGGCTCTGCTTTTAAGGATCACACATGGTATCTCAGGGGATCCTACATGGTACCTGAGATCCAACCGGGGTCAACCACGTGCAAAGCAAGAGCTGTACCTACTGTGCTGTGTGTGTGTGTGTGTGTGTGTGCTGTCAAGGATTCTGAAGAAAAGAAAGGTAAAAAGTTGAAAGAGGGACACACACACACACACACACACATACATACACACAAACACACAAATAACCCAACATAACCTTTGTATTTAAAGTCATTTCTCTGTCACCAAGTTCTGTCACCACATAGTTTCCCCCTAAGCAAAAAATATTTTTAAAGGAGCAAAAATTGGGGGCTGGAGCAATAGCACAGCAGATAGGGCATTTGCCTTGCACGCGGCCGACCGCGGTTCGATTCCCAGCATCCCATATGGTCCCCTGAGCACCACCAGGAGTAATTCCTGAGTGCAGAGCCAAGAGTAACCCCTGTGTGACCCAAAAAGAAAAAAAAAGGGGGGGTATAAATTGGAGGCTGAAGCAATATGATAGCAAAAACAAACAAAAAAATCATTTCCCTCCAGCTACTGATGTGTGACAAGACCTTTGTTAGGGGGCTCAGAGCGAGTCCTTAGTCAACCCTGGAAGCCCCCAGAAAGGGAACATTAGTGTTTCCCGACTCATCTGAGCACCCACCGGCCTGGCCACGGCTCCCCGCCTTCTGTTAAGGAACGAGAATGACCAGGATGGCTCAGTAACTCTCCCCGTTATTACAATCTACAGGCAGCAGTGGGCCCTTGAGGCCAGAGACCGGACTCCACAATGAGTGAAACAATGAAACCCCAGCAACATGTGAGTCCGGGGAATGGGGGTCTGTGGGCTTGGCAGAGGAGAGTTCAGTCCTGGGGGTGGGGGGGTTGGGCGGTGGGGTCTGGCCTCCTCTTCAGCATGACTGTCCTTAACTGTGGGGGCCCCACCTGGCCCCACTCTCTCTTGGTTGGTATTTGATGAGTACAGGCCTCGTGGCGTGGTTTCTGCTCTCCTGGCTCGGAGGGCAATGGCGTTAGCACTGGAAACATGTTTCTGTACGCGCCGTCCATGGGCGGTCAGGAGTCCGTCTTCACCACAGACACGGAGGGCTGGGTGTGACAGGGCCCGTGAGCAGGGTCCAACCGTGAGCACTCTTTCTGAGCACCTCTCAGAGCCTCTGTAATGGGCTCAGGGTCCCTCGTAATGCACCGGATTGGGGGATCCACCAAAAAGTGTTAAGGGGCCAGGGGTGAGTGGCGGTCACGCCCCATACTTTGCATGCCTGGGATCAGACTTGGATACTGCCTCTACCGACACCCCGACACCCTGAATGGGTTGAGTGTCAGGGTGCTTTGGAATGGGATGGGTTTGACAGGAGCTGGAGGCTGGTTGAATTCCCGACAATGTTCAGGACTTATTGCAGCTCAGAAGACTTTAAATAACTGTGTTCCTTGACAATTCATCGTTACCTTGAAGGGTCCGTTTCTCAGACTGTCTGGCTTTTTTGCCCTGTACTTTTTTTTTGTTTGTTTTGTTTTAATTTTTATTAGTGAGACACCATGAGGTACAGTTGTAGACTTACAAATTTTTGTGCTTGGGTTTCAATTATACAATGATCAAATACCCATCCCTCCACCAGTGCCCATTCTCCACCACCACTGATCCCAGTATCCCTCTCACCCACCGCCCATCCCCCTATATCCCACCCTGCCTCTGTGGCAAGGCATTCCCCCTTGTTTTCTCTCTCCTTTTGGGTGCTGTGGTTTGCAAAAGAGGCATTGAGTGGCAGTCATGTTCGGTCTAGAGTCTACTCTCAGCATGCGTTTCGCATCCTGGGAGGATCCTCCCAACACCCTTTATTTGGTGCTCCCTTCTCTATCTGAGCTGCCTTTTCCCCCAGCATGTGAGTTTTACCCTGTATTTTGGAATGGCAAATCTAAAAGGGGAGTGGGGGAGGGGAGGGCAACCCCAGGGAAGGAAGGGAGCTGTTACTATTGCTTCCTTAGTGCTCTTGGCAAAAGGTGCATCCTTTTTGGTTTTGTCCTTCTTCCTTCTTCCAGTTTTGATCTCGGCACCGTGATTTCATTCTTTTTTTTTTTTTCGAGGGGGGTCACACCCGGCGATGCACAGGGGTTACTCCTGGCTCTGCACTCAGGAATCATTCCTGGCAGTGCTCAGGGGACCATATGGGATGCTGGGAATTGAACCTAGGTCGGCCACATGCAAGGCAAATGCCTTCCCCGCTGTGCTGTCGCTCCAGCCCGCACCGTGATTTCTAATACCATCCATAGCAGTGTATCACGCGGCCACTCTGCTTCCGCCGACCCCAGAATCTAGCATCTCTCCAGCACCGGGTTCCCCACCCCACACACACATACACACATCACCATGACAAACTCGGTTCCACAGGCTTAGTCTCACTGCGCATTTCTCAGTGCCTTCCCATGTTTGTTTCTTTCTTTCTTTCCTTTTTTTTTTCTTTTTGGGTCACACCCAGCGATGCACAGGGGTTACTCCTGGGTCCACACTCAGGATTTTTTTTTATTTTTTATAATTTTTAAAAAATTTTTATTAGTGAAACACCATGAGGTACAGTTGTAGACTTACAATTTTTTTGTGCTTGCTGAAACGTTATATAATGATCCAGTACCCATCCCTCCACCAGTGCCCATCATTTGCATCATTTACATTTTTTTAAAATTTTTGTTAGTGAAACACCATGAGGTACAGTTGTAGATTTACAAATTATTGTGCTTGGGGCACTCAGGATTTTTTTTTTCTTTTTGGGTCACACCTGGTTATGCACAGGGGTTACTCCTGGTTCATGCACTCAGGAATTACTCCTGGCGGTGCTCAGGGGACCATATGGGATGCTGGGAATCGAACCTGGGTCGGCCGCATGCAAGGCAAACGCCCTACCTGTGCTATGGTCCCAGTCCCAGGAATTTTTATGAAAAGACACAAGCATCTTTTCAAAATACTGCTGGGACCCTAGGGATAAATGGGATGCTGGGAATTGAACCCGGGTGGGCCGCTTGCAAGGCAAACACCCTACCCACTGTGCTATCACTCCAGCCCCCCATGTTTCTTTGTATCCCACATGTGAGAGCGATCACTCTGCCCGTCCCCCCACCCCACCCCCGTCTCTGCTGACCTCACTCAGCGCCATCGCCTCCAGTCCCTTCCCTGTGGCAGCGGAGGGTGGGATTTCCTCTGCCACGTAGTCCGATGTGGCTGCCGAGTACAGCTTCTCGCTGCGCTCGCCTGTTCTTGGTCACTTGGGTTGTTTGATCTTGGCTGCTGTGAATAGTGGGTGATGAACATAACCAAGCAAACGCCTTTTCAAAATACCGTTGGGACTCTGTGGATAAATGCCAAGCAGTGGAATCGCTGGGTTGTATAGAAGCTCGATTTTTTTTTTCTTTTTGGGTCACACCCAGCGAAGCTCAGGGCTTACTCCTGCACTCAGGAATCACTCCTGGCGGTGCTCTGGGGACCATGTGGGATGCCAGGAATCGAACCTGAGTCAACCGCATGCAGGGCAAGCGTCCTCCCTGCTGTACTATCGCTCTGACCCCTAGAAGCTTGATTATTAATTTTTTGGAGCATAGCCGGTGGTGCTCGGGTCTCACTTCTAGTGGGGCCTTGAGGACCACCTGGGTTGCCAGGGTTCAAACCTGGGTAGGCCACTTGTAAGGCAAACACCCTACCTGCTGTGCTATCTCTCTGTTCCTCAAAGATTTTTAAATGGGCAAAGGATCTGTGTAGGCACTTCTTATTTATTTAATTTACGTATTTATTTAGGGCTGGAGTGATAGCACAGCGGGTAGGGCATTTGCCTTGCACGCAGCCAACATGACCGGCCCGAGTTCGATTCCTCCACCCCTCTCGGAGAGCCCAGCAAGCTGCCGAGAGTATCTCGCCCGCACGATAGAGCCAGGCAAGGTACCCGTGATGTATTCAATATGCCAAACACAGTGACAACAAAGTCTCCAATGGAGATGTTACTGGGCCCGCTCGAGCAAATCGATGAACAATGGGAGGACAATGACAGTGATGTATTTATTTATTTATTTTTATTAGTGAGACACCATGATGTGTAGACACTTCTTAAGAAGCTCAGAAAAGGGACAGGAGACAAAGGGTGTGGCGATTAAGGTGTTTGCCTTGCAGTCCACCAATCCCCAGCTTGAATTTTTAGCATCATCTATGGTCCCCCGGCACTTCTCGGGGTCCTGAGCATAGAACCAGGAATAGCCCCAGAGCACTGCTGGGTGTGCCTCCTCTAAAAAACTGACCAGGGGCTAGAGCAGCAGTACAGGGGGGAGGGCGTTTGCCTTGCACACGGCTTACCCAGGTTCGATCCCCAGCATCCCATATTGTCCCCTAAGCCCACTAGGAGTGCCCTGAGCACAAAGCCAGGAGTAACCCCTGAGCATTGCCAGGTGTGCCAACCCCCCCCAAAAAAAAAAATCTCGACCACAGGTATGTCACACTTATTAGATGATCTATAACAGAAAGAGCATTGGAAAATATTAGCACTCAAGAATTGATCTAAAGAACTGTGTTCACCTGGGAGGGGAGAATGGGGAAGGAAAAGGAACTGTGACATTGATGGAGGGAAGCGGGTGTTCTGGTGGCGGGGGTGTGGTATTGGGATCAAACAATCACTAATGGTATTGTATAAAACATGTTATCTCAGGAAAAACTGGAAAGGGAGTATTGGCAAAGAAGCTTCTAGTAGCAGTGTAAAATGATCCCGTTGCTTGGGAAAGCAGTCTGGCTCTAGGCTGGAGCAGTATAGTACAGCGGAGGCACAGATGCTGCCCGAGCCAATGTGCTGCTTGTGCCCCTGTGGCCGAGCACATGCAGTGCCTAAGCACATGTGTCGCCCGCATCTCCCCACTTGCGATGTGTCCTTTCATGCTTTCCTGTCTAACGCTGGGATGTGTGTAGGGGCTCTCTCCGTCCTTGGAGAAGCCCGAGTTCTCTCTTGAGCACATTACTCTCCACTCTCTCCCACTTTCTCTTCCTCCTTCTTTCCAAAACGTCCAAATAAAAACTGTGTAATTTCACTGTATATATATATATAGCACTGTAGCACTGTCCTCCCGTTGTTCATCGATTTGCTCGAGCGGGCCCAGTAACGTCTCCATTGTGAGACTTGTTGTCACTGTGTGTGGCATATCGAATACATCATGGGGAGCTTGCCAGGCTTTGCCATGTGGGCGGGATACTCTCGTTAGCTTGCCAGGCTCTCCGAGAGGGGCGGAGGAATCAAACCCCAGTTGGCCGGGCCGGCTGCGTGCAAGGCAAACGCATCATTTCTAAGAAATGGTATCTTGGGCTGGAGAGAGGACGGGATTAAGGCTCTTGCCTCGCACGCAGCTGGCCCTGGTTCCATTTAAGTACCAATTGGGCAGTTGAACCCCTCCCCCACACCCGCTCACCCCCAAACAAACAGACAGACAGCAACCAAAATCCCAAGGAAATGAATCTTTGAGAGACTCAAAGAGAAATAGTTAAATAGCTTGGAATGGGCCATAAGGAGTTCCAGCAGAGTTAGATTAGGCCCTGAAATGAAACATTCCCGTATGCTAGTTAGTACTTTTGGAGGTGTGAGATACTCTGACATAGAAGAACAGAGCTGGGCTTATGGGCAAGCTGGGATTTACAGCGGGCCTTGAAAGATTAAAAACACTTTTATTTTCTGGAGGAGTTGGATTTGAGAAGCTATGGCCCACCAAAGACAATTTGGTTTGGAGGGACTATTCTGCGGGCTGGAGCTATAGCACAGCGGTAGGGCGTTTGCCTTGCACGCG